ATAAAAAAAAACATGTATGTTTATATATAAGCATTTGAAAATTAATGCAATCATATCTCATAAATAAAACACAAGCATTACTTAAATTAATGATCATTCACTCATATAAATTATTAATGTTATCTAGCTGATAACAGCGCTGATTTCAGATCGCCTTTTGAAATACTAGTTGATTTTAAATCCTTCATCCTATGGATTTAACAATTTGGGAATTGCCCATGACGAAAAGTCAACAATAGAATTTTGGGTAAAGTTCAGAATCATCCGCTGTGACGCGTTTTTAAAAATTGCACATACTCGCTATCCATGTGCACATCGACCTATTTTCACTTAAAAAAAAATCCCAAAATTACACAAAAATGGCACTGTGCACACCCTTGGCTTTATCTATGTACACATCGACCTATTTTCACTTAAAAAGTAAAAGAAAATTGACAAAAATCCAATAGTTTTTACCCTTGTAAAAAGCGGCAAACAAATAAGTGGGCGATTCTTTACCGAGAATATTTTCAAATATTTTCATTCATTATAGAAAATTACGTTTGAACAACCAACGAGATGAAATGATGCTTTAGCGATAAGTCGGTAGCGAAATAGCGATGCAGGCATCCATTCACTTATGTTTAGCAATTTTTATATAAATTATAATAATGATCTGAAATAGTTATTTACTATTACGCTTCCATTCAGTCATGTTTAGCCTTTTTCATATAAATTATAATAAAAAAAAAGTATTATATGAAATTAACCTTTCATCTAGATTAAAATATCATTCTTAGATAGTTATTTACTATTACACTTCCTTTCTTGCGTTAAGGTTGCCGCAATTATTTTTGGCAGCATTGGCATCAACAATAGTTTGGCGATTTTTTACGGCCCTCGAAACCGAATAGTACCTAAAAAACAAATGCACTTGCAAGGTAATTCAAGTCTCATATGATAATCGCACTGATAATTTTTGTCTTATAAAATACTTGTTAAAGTGTACCTTTACATTAACAGCAAATTTTTCATAAACACAAAAACATAAATAAATCACTTAAGGGCGAGAGAACATTTCTGGTAGAAGATAACTATTCCACTTAAATAAGCTTCGCAGCATTCGTAAGGAATTCACTTGAGCTTTTTCCGAGTCGACAAATATACATCCCACCGCTGCCACCACTGTCATATAATCGAATCCTTTGATCAATTCATCTTTGTCGGTTCGTTTCTATCCACTTATGAATGTTATTAGTCAACTCTATTTGCAGGAAATAAACTGGGACACTTATGCAGGTTTAACAATAACATGAGCTATATTTTAATTTTGTAAATACAGTTTAACTTTTCACAAAGTATTGCTTTTATTCACATTTACATCAAACGCACAAGTAATACATTGCATCTCTCAGCTCTTAACAAAAAAAAAAACAAAAAAAACAAACAAACAAAAAAAAAAAAAAAAAAAAACAAGCTAACTTTACTCTCGGAATACAGCCAAAAATAATTTCAAATTTTTTTTCACGAGCATGCCGTTCTTCTCGCATCAAGCACGTTTCTTCTTCTCGTTGCCAGATTTTCCCCTCTCCTTTCAGATAAACTGTTTTTTCACACGAGCATGCCGTCCTTCTCGCATCAAGCACGCTTCTTCTTTTCGTTGCCAGATTTTCTCCTCTCTCCTTTCAGCTATAAGTCGTTGGCTTTCAGCTATAAGTCTGTTCTTCCGGCAGGTTTGGTCGGTAGCATAAAGTATGTGCATGACAGATATGCTGTTGCAAAAAATATGATTAGGAAATATTCACTGAAGTGGGCACCTACAATCTAAAACAAAGCAAAGAATTTTAAGCCACAGTAGGTTAGAGAAATCGACGACAGAACAATGCAATGATCAATACAATAATACGACAGAAAACAAAAATGAGCAGAAATTACCGCAATATCTTGACCATAAAGTCATCAGATTTCACAAGTTTGTTGATGGTATGAGGCAAAAATACAACTTTTCTTTATCTAATATTGAAAATATGGATGATACCCCGATGGACAGCAAATAATGAACAATACAACAGTGAACACAAAAGGTTAGCCCTTTTGTGTTCACTGTTGTATTGTTCAAGTTCAAAACTGTTCAAGTCAGAAGTTAGGCCTTGCAAAAACTAGGTTTACAGTAGTATTAACATGCATGGCAGATGGAACAAAGTTAAAACCCATGGTCATTTTCAAGAGGAAAACTACTCCTAAAATTACATTTCCGCCAGGCATTTTCGTACATTTTCAAGAAAAGCCTTGGATGGACAAGAATGGTGTAAAATTTTTGATAGAAAATACACTGCTCGACATTGAAAATGCAACACCAAAAGGAGTGATCAGATATTTATGCAAATTTTAGAGTAGACGCACGTCACTGAGTTATGCGAATGATGTGAAATCCGCAGCTCTCCGATGCACGTGAAGTAAGATATAAGGGAAGGAACGTAGAGAATGGCCAATATTCGTGTCGTTATTTCTGCCAGACGAATTATCGAAGAAAGTTGGTTTTTGTCCCGGAGGACGCGTGTAATAGGAGAGAATACAAGGCCGCTCTCAACGAAGGCACTTCCAGCAGATATACGATTTTACGAGGGGTATGGTGATCGGACTGAGCAGGGCGGATTGGTCCTTGCGTCAAATCGCAGCTGATAACCACACGGATGCGAGCACGGTGCATCGGCTATGTCGAACATGGTTGGAACAAAGAAATGTGGGAAGGAGGGGTGCAGGTGCAGCCAGAGTGACGTCAGCATGCGTGGATCGACGCATCTGCCGACAAGCTGCGGCGGTCCCGCAAGTCACTTGTACCGCGATTGTGCAGCATTTGCAAGATACCCTGGATATTCCCGTGTCGACTAGAACCATTTCACGTCGATTGGTTGAACGTGGCCTACACTCACGGCTTCCGTTAAGAAGACTGCCATTGACCCCACAGCATAGACGCCAACGTTTAGAATGGTGACGGACTGGAGCGATGTGGATGGCAGAATGGCGAAACGTCGTGTTCTAAGATGGTCACGCTTCTGTTTATCCAGTAACAGTCGCTGCATACGTGTGTGGCGTCGACGTGGAGACAGATCTAATCCGGCAGCAACTGTGGAACGCCCCACGGCGCGACAACGTGGCATAATGGTTTGGGGCGCTATTAGCTACGATTCCAGTACACCTCTAGTTCGTATTCAGGGCACTATGACGTCCCAACGATCCTTGGATAATGTACTGCGGCCGGTGGCAATCCCCTACCTTCAGGGGCTGCCTAATGCAATTTTTCAGCAGGATAACGCCCGACCACACAGTGTTCGCATCTGCCAACATGCTCTTCAAGTTGTACAGATGCTTCCCTGGCCACCGTACTCTCCTGACCTGTCACCAATCGAACATGTGTGGAATGTGATTGGAACGCCGTTTGCAGACTTTGCCCCTGCTTCGTTCAGAAGACGAACTGTGGCAAATGGTTGAAAAATTTGGAAACAGTGATTAGACTTCCAATGCGGGGACTTCTAATGCTACGGACGTACTGAGGACGATTTGTTATGGAATAGTGATGACGCAGATTTTGGTTTATTGGTTTATTAGATTACATCAAAGCACTAGAGGGCTATTTGCCTTAAGGGCAGGATGCCTTCGTGGAGGACATTTTAAGGGGAACTGGCTCGTATACACGGTGATGACGAAGAGAAAATCGACTCTCTTGAAATAGAGCCCACCAGCGGCCGAGCGGTAAAGTCGTTGAACACTGGTAGTTCGGTCCGAGGCTCTAATCTCACGAACGGGCTTGTTCCATGGGCGTTTTCGTGTTTTTCCCCTTGTTTAACGTGTATACGAGCCAGTTTCCCTTAGTCATCCACGAAAGCATCCGTCCTCTTAGCCGGATAGCTCTCGAGGCTTTGCCATAATCACACACACACACACTTGAAATAGAATGGAACCCAAATGACAAGCTTCTCAATGAAAGTGAGGATGCACTTGAAGAGCTAGCCTCAGAGGATAGATGTGAGAATTTTGAAGGATTTGTAAATGCATTAGCGGATGATTTGCTTTATAATGATTTTAATTTTTATAAATTTCAATCTAATATTTTTTGTATCTGTCCAAAAAGACGATCCCAGATATGGGGGAGGGTTATAATTCAACTATCGTCTTATCTGCGGAAATATCTTTTAATAATCTTTCATCATAATCATATCTTTTAATCAGTATATATCTTTTAAAATATAAGGAAGTAATAAACATATGGAGAAAGCCTTATTCAAATTCTGCATGTGTAATTTAAAAACATTTTAAAGATAAGAATTTTTCCTCAGTATTTCTCAATATAATGTTGGTTCTTTGCCTGTCAAAGCACAGTTACATTCTTAAAACCTCAGTTTTCAAGTTCTGAGAAGCGCTCACCATTGATATAACATATATAAGTAAATCAATAGCTCTCTGATCGACTTTTGGAACTCCGTAAACGAAAACATAAAATATAAGCGAGTTGCAGAACAGTAATTTAAGATTTTAACAATATTAAAAATACATAAAAATTATAAATAAATATATTTATATACACTAGAAAAAAATTTATATCATTCTCTGTTCACTACGCATAATCTAAAAAAAGGAAAAACATCAAAAAGATGTCTTGAAATTCTATTTAGTAGCCATTTTTATTGCACACTCATTTTTTCCTTCCTGCTGATATTTTATTAAAATTAACAAACAGTATTCTTAATATTAACCTAGTTCTTAAATTTTTGAAGTTTTTCCCTCATTGCTTTTGACCACTGTCAGTCTCTAGTAACTCAGTTATAGATGCTTCATGCCCCACTGATTTTCCGTGACACATATCTAATGACTGTAATAATTATGCAACATCCGATTACGTGTAATAAAAAATATTCTTAAAAAATGAAAATTAACTTATGTAAGAACGGTATGGCACTATGTGACTGAAAAAGTAAGAGTCAAGCAAATAGCAAGAACTTTTTTTTATTTTATTTCTGCAGCTGGACGTACTTTACAGAACGAGAACTTGGTGGCTCAAGTCACTGGGGTCTTTTATCTACATACAGTGGAGCCGGATCTTACGCTGATTTAGGTACCAATTCGGAACAATCCAAAGCTGTAATGAAAGTCCTAAAAGAAAACCTTTGGATATCCAGAGCTACGCGAGCTGTCTTCTTAGATTTCACGGTCTACAATGCAAATCTGAACTTGTTCTGCATTGCCAAGTAATAAAATACTGAATTATTTTTTTCTGAGAGAATTTGCATTATTTTTTTCTGAGAGGCTTTGTAACTCAAAAAAACTATTTGTTCAAATGTGAGTGTTTTATCTCAGGTTCTTTTCTTTTTCATGATCAGCACTCGAAAAGGTAAAGTTTTTTTTTTTTTTTTTTTTTTTTTTTTTTTTTTTTTTTTTTTTTTGAGTGCTTAAATGTGTTGGTATAAATTGCAGTCTGATTCTGATTAGATAACAAAAGTGCTTTTCATTTCGATTTTTTATTGTTCTGAAATAGCCAATTGTTCATGAGAGTATGACAACAAAGCAATTATAAAATTTAAAATGAAAATGGTGAAGAGTTCAGCAATGTAGAATTAAAAGCTAATTTTAATGTTGTTATCTAAAAACATGGGGTGTGGAAGAAGTAACCAGTCCATGACCATTAAGGAGACAAGAAAGAGACAATTTAGTTTCATACTAAAGTATGAAATAGAATAAGTGATTTTCGGGATTTCGTTCAAAACCTGCATAATGAAATTCCTAACAGTATAAAGAAAACTAAAGTTATTAAGATGACAATCGCTATTAGTCGCGATGAATGAGCTATCAACTGCGGCAACATCTTTCATTAAATTTAATTGGTATTTTATGTGATTCTTTTAATTTAAAAGATTTAATTTAAGACATTTTTGTTCAGGTACTAGTAATTGTATTTTCTATTTTAGTAAGAGGATATTTACTTGCAGTATGATGTTTTGTTATATAACCTTTTATTTAGTACACTCAGTTCACTGTGAGTGAAATTTTGTCGTCGATTCTTAACTTACTTTCTGACACACTATCATTATCTTTGTACAAACATTATCTTTTGTACAATGTTTTTCGATGATAATGCAGTGTGATGAAGCGATTTTCTCCAAATTCAATTTAGATGCTTTTATTTTGTTCAAACGATTTTTCGCACAAACGATTTATCTTCCTGTATTAAACATATCAGAATTTTACTGTTTTCATCATCGAATAGAGCAGAAAAACTTGTATGACCTTATATGAACAATAAAATTTGTGCGAAACCATAACTTACTTTCTGAATTTTTAAAAATCGATCGATTTTTTCGACTATTTGAATCTGATGATATTAAAATTTCAATATCTGAAAATGTGTCAAATGCAAATTTTTGGAAATTTACAGAATGCAAAACAAATTTTTGTTCTCTTTTAAAATAAAGATGATAAAAATGTATTAATTGAGCTATTTTCTACATTTATAAAAAAAAGTGTTGCAGCCTGAAGCAGACGAGAGAAAAAATAGTTTCTTAAGGAAAAATTACATTTGAGTATGCAACCTTGTCATATTTAACAACGAAATCTCCCATCTTGGCGCATTTAATGACGAACTGGCGATATTCGTTTATTTACATTAACGTAGCAATAATACAATCTGAAACAAAAAAAAAAAAAAAAAAAAAAACGACGCACCAAGAAGGAGTTATCCAAATAGGACGAAAATCGGTAGAAGTGATGTACATGTACAGAAAAACAAATGATTACAGTTTGATAAAAATTGGATGATTTATTGAATTGATAGAGCTTCACAAATTGAAAACGTCAGTAATGCGTTTGTCCACCTCTGGCCCTGCAAGCAGCTATTCGGCTTTACATCGATTGATAGAGGTTGCGGATGTCCTCCTGAGGGATATCGTGCCAAATTCTGTCCAACTGGCGCGTTTGATCGTCAACATTCCGAACTGGTTGGTGGGCCCTGTCCATATGCTCCAAACAGGCTCAATAGGAGAGAGATCCGGTGACCTTGCTGGCCAAGTAATGAATGTTCAGCAAGCAGTAGAAATATGTGCAGTGTGGGAGCGGGCATTATCTTGCTGAAATGTAAACTAGGGTGGCGTGACATGAAAGGCAACAGAAAGAGCCTTAGAACTTCGTCGACGTACTACTGTGCTGTAAGGTTGCAACGAATGACAACCAAAGGGATCCTACTATGAAATGAAATGCCACCCCAGACCATCACTCTTGGTGGTCGGCCTGTCTACCGGAAGACAGTCAGGTTAGTATCACACCGCTGTCCGGGGCGTCTCCAGACTCGCCTTCGCTGGTCATCGGGGCTCAGTCAAATCGGGACTCATCAATGAAGACTATTCTACTCTAGTCAGTGACATTCCAGTCAGAATGAGCCCGATACCACTGCAGACGGTCTTGACGTTGTACAGAGGTCAATGGTAGTCGGCTCAAGGGGAGCCGTGACCTCAGCCCTCTTTCTGTGAGCCGTCAATGAATGGTCCTTGGGGTCACTGAAGTACTAGTTGCACGTACGATCGATGATAATGATGCATCTGGGGCTGTGAGTGCCGCTCTGACGATTGCCCGGTCTTCACGTTCTGTCGTTTCTCTAGGCCTACCGCTTCCTTCTTGACGCTGTGTGCGGCCATGGTTCACCCATTCCTGCCTACATCGTCTAATAGTGGCTCAAATGTCCTGCTCAAATGTCGAGCTACTCGCCGATAAGACCAACCGGCTTCTTTGAGCCCTCTACACGACCTCTCTCAAATTCTGACATCTGCGGATATGGTTCGCGCACCTGTATGCCAGGCATAGTTACTGTCTACCAGAGTACACGGAATGAAATTCGTGAAGAATTTATGACCTGAAATCGTAATTTCTCCTCCTAAATATCCTGCCAGTTGCGTAGATCAGCTGAGCTGTAGCGACAACCGTTCATTCATTGGCAGCTAAAATGTAAAATTTTGCATTTTCCTTCGAAACCTGTATGCATATCAATTTGTATCCAGTTTGCTTTATATATTCTCGGTGCGTCGTAGTGCGTCTTTTTTTTTTTTTTTTTTTTTTTTTTTTTTTTTTTTGTTTTTTTGTTGTTGTTGTTGTTGTTGTCTAAGAGGGTATAAGTAAATATTTGTTATAAAGAAGTAAAATAGTTGTTGTAACATTGCAACATTTTTATTATATCCAATTTCCAAAACTGAATACTCATATCGATTTCTTAATCTGTGAATGCCGGTCAGTTATTTTTCTTAATTTAATAATTTTCTAATAATTAATCGCTGCTTTTTAATAATGACTAAAATTTTCGTCTCTGATAATTTATAGTTGAGACTAAAAAATCGAAAATAAAACACAATTAAAAAAAAAGCTTTCTATGGAATAATTTTTTATTTAAAATAGATATGATAATTAATGCAGAAGAAAGAGAAAATTAATTTATCATACAGTTTAATGGGAGTAAGAGATTAAACAATTCTATTTACAGAATTCATCTACAATTTTATTTCGCGAATAATTAAAGCATGCGGTATGAAAATAGCTAAATCTGTTAATTTAATTCCGTTTTGAAATGTATAGCCATTAACTTTTTTTTTATTCATCATGTCCGCCCCACACTTTTATTATTCGCGATATAAAATTGTAAATGAATTCTGTAAATAGAAATATTTAATCTATTATTACCATTAAACTATATGATAAACCATTTTTCTCTTTCTAGTGCGTTAATTATCATATCCATTTTAAATAAAAGCTTATTGTATAAAAACCTTTCTTTAAATTATATTTAAAATTTCCATAGCTCATTACTAGATATACATTCTGGTGCAAGAGTGTTATTGTATCAAACTTTAGAATAAAAAGTTAAGAATACCGACAAAATTTCTGCTGGGCAGTTATTAGGAAAATAAACATTTGCTGCAGGAAAATAATAATCCTTTCATATAGTACTATCCTAGTTTTTTTTTAATTTAATAATTCCATTTTAAATAAAGGAAGAATTAAGTTGAATAATTCAAGTAAAAGTTAATAGCTATGCACAACGCCTTTTGTTTGCTTGCTTACAACTTTTCTGAGAGCACACTTTTCCTAAGGACTAAATATGTCTCTGCTTGTGCATATTCAATAATAATAAAAAAAAATTCCTTTATAAGAATTCCCAATCTATTTATTTTTCAAACACTATGTCATTAACAATTTAAATATCAAATCCTTAAGTATGAAATATATAAAATAAAGAATATATTTTATTCTTTGTAAAATAAGGAATATATGTTATTCTTTGTTTATTTATTTTAAACTAGAATCATTGTAAAGTATACGCTGAAACTATTGACGGTGGAACTTCGAAAATACTTCAAATACCCGTGCTGAAGAAATGATAAGAATCCTTAAAATATCAATTGTTTTTTATTATAAAATTATTCCTAGTGTTTCGATTTGTTTGTCCAGTATTCTATTCCTTTGCTTATTGAATATGCAAGCTAAGAACATGACATTTCTTTTGTATATCGCAGAATTACTTTTAAGATTTTTCATTCACTTGATATTAAAGTACTCTTTACTGAGTATTATTATAATTAAAAAACAACGTTAAAATTCGCAGAAGTATATTTGGTTAGATAAAAGCATTTGAACTTTAAATATCACCCTACTTTATCATTAAAAATGAAGGTAGATTCTAGACTTCTTTACACACTTATTAAAAGCCCCGAATTATAAGAAACGAAGTTTTCTAGTATGAATGGCATTCTTTCTTATATTTTTGAAAATGTATTTATTTTGCTTTTACGCGCAGGATCGTCTTCGAATTTCCTGCAACTGGTGGAATGATTCCTTCGTGGAGTTTCCGCACTGTGAAGCTCTTGCGCTATGTCACAACAAGTGACTACTTTATTTTCATATGTGAAATCATCTTCACAGTATTTGTAGTATATTACCTTATAGAAGAAATATTAGAGGTAAGTGAGAAGATAACTTTAATTTTTAGTAATATTTAATTTTAATGTAGCTCCAAACAGGACAAAAATTTGTAAATACCTTCACAAAAAAGAATTAAAAAAATAAAATGCTGTACGAGTAAAAAACGCTTATATCTACAAGACGAAAGAGAAATATAGGATTTAAATGCCAGGAGAAATGGGCATGTTAGTAGCTTCCAAATTAATATAGAAAAATAAAAAATAGATAAAGCAAAACTTGTAAAACGTAACTTCATTTCAATCTAAATAAAATTAAATTTCACGTAAACTTATTATATATCTACGTTTTCAAAATAGCTTAAATATATTATTTGTAACTATGATGCATACGTACATATATACGAGTAAATATATCTATCCAGACATAATCTTTTGGGACAAAAAAAAACTAATACCATGAAGAAAGTGACTGTTTTTACTCAAGTTAAATATGCGTAATGCCCATGAACTGGTAATAATATGCTTAAATGTTCAAGGCCATAAAAATTATGAATGGTTAGCAATTACACATTGAATGTTCAAATCAGTAATTGGTTAATCCCCCTGGTCCAGATCTGCGAAAATTTGGAGTGCCCCTTATCTGGCGGCCTAACATATCCCATGCATGTTGGATTGGCGAAAGGTTTGGTGAAGAAATGTATCAACAGCTTGGAAAGGCTGGCCAAGAAAAGTATCAACAGCTTGGAAAAAGTTCAGAGATTTGGAAGGCGTGTAAGGCCTAGTGTTATCCTATAGGAAAATGGCTCCAGAAGGGAGTGTGTCCTGAAGGATAATGCAAACAGCAGCAGGATGTCATCAACATATTGTTCAGCCTTTAACGCTGCATGCAGTATAACTAAGGTAGACCTGCTATCGCAAGAAATAGCATTCCACACTAGAGATGGACAAAACCGCTTCTTTAAAGGAACAGATAGAAATAGGTGGCTCACTGAAGTGAATCAGTTCTTTTTATCGGTTCACTGCTTACTAACAATGACCTTGATGAATGCGCTTAGAACAGGCGTGGATCAAGAGAGGTGTGCAAAAGATGGGGCAAAAGCAGAAACAATTGAACAAGGAGTGAGATTGCTGGGATCAAGTCAACAAAACTGCTCTGGATATATTTCTTTCAACTGTACTTTTGGGATTCCCTAAATCATCTTTCTGCATATAACAACAGTAAATTATGAGGGAAAATGCTAAGAGTTAAAAAATAAGGAACTAAAATCACTTTTGTTAAAGATTACATTATTTTATTGCTATAATTGATATTTTGTTGCTACTACAAAGCACAGTGTAAACATTAATTTTTAGATTGAAGGCAGATCCCAATAAACAGGAAATTATCTGTTGACAATACCGGCATTTTCTTTTTCTTTTTTTTTTTTTTTTTTTTTTTTTTAATTTATTTAATTTGACAAAATGATACCAAATATCGCTCGATGTTCTTTTGTTCGACAGGGTCCCCATTTTGTTCTGCAACCTTAAAATATGAATGGAATACTTCGATGGAAAAATTTATGTTTATAAATATATACTAATTCTAAAGAAGTTTAAAGAGAAATCCACAACTCTTGATTACAAGATGTTAATAAAATAAGTAAATAAATAAAAATATAATTTATTATTTTACTATTGTATAAAAAAGGAAATACCTAATAAATATGTCATAGTATACCCAATATACATAGGTATACTATGACACAGTTTTCAAGAAATGAAACTCAAACGAACAGCTCCGAGGAAGCCAAACGGACAAATAAGCGACTCCGCCGGATCAGCTAGAAAAGGAGTGTCGGAGCGATGAAAGAAGCGAATAATCAAGACACCGGAGAAGCGAGATCTCGGCTAGAGAAGGAACGCTAAAACAATGACAGCTGGGAGTCCGAGGAAACTAAGTAACTAAGTATCTATGCAAGGAAACTAAGTATCTATGCAGTTCAGTACACTGCCGGTTGGGAAAAAACTCAGTCCATTTGGAAGAAAGGGATGATCAGTTTTGCTGAGATGCGTCAGTTCATGTAATGTTTTTCTATTACTAGATGGAACACAAGCAAGTCAAAATCACACATACATATCCATACAAAACACACATAAAAAATAGGTCAGAGACGTTTCCGGTAAATAATGAAGGAAAGAATGCTAGTGTTTAAATTAAGAGGAAACCAAATTTTTGGCATGCTCTCCAACAACAGCTCTCCTTGAACTGTTAAAAAACTGCCGTCCCGCTTTCGCCGGAGCGCTGATTATTTGTTCAGTAGAATGAATCAGTTCTTTCATTCGGTTCCGGAGCGAATTGTCTATCTCTTCCCCCCACCACCACAGGGATAATGACTGTATGCATTTGTAAAACAAAGGCTAATCGGGATTGCTGGCCGTGTTCTTCGACAACCGAACCCGATGATCATCTGCTCCAAGTCTGAAGCAGAATTCCTCCTGAACACTATGCATTAATGATTGGCTGGCTGATAACAATTGGCTCATAATAATCGGCTACGACACCACTCCTGACAAATCTGTCGATGATGTCAGGTTAAAGGCAGCTAATTCCGCCTCGGCCAAGCGCCTTTGGATGGTGATAGGTGGAACAGGTAGAATGGAAGCGGCTTCGCATGTCGGATAGTGGGCAATGATGCCATTAGGGCAAGTTCGTGCCTATTGCACAGTTACCCGATCTTGTCTCGCAATCCTGCAGCTTCAGCTTCCAAAGCCCTGAATCCACCAATAAGTACCTTGCAGCAACCATTGCTGCCAGCATCTTTGCGCAGCGACGTCTGTACGGGGGTAGGCCTATTGCTCGGTATGACCAGCTCGCTTCACACATCCCTATTATGCGACCTACCTCTTTCTAAGTTGTTTATAAAGTCTGCGACAACGTTTTTAACGGCGTTATTGGTTGTGCCTCCAGGGAACTGCAGCGCAGACAAAGGGAAAAGATAAACCGTACGCAACTCTTACCTGTTTTGTCCAATGTTAGTTGTATAGTAGAAAGGGTTCGCTATAACTGAAGTGAACATTCATTGTCATTGAAATTTAATCATTTGCATACTTAGTATAAATGAATTTGCGTAAACAATTTCGAGATGATCGGATTATTTTTTAATGGCCGCTTCGATTTGTTCCGAAGGTGTGTGTGTGTGTGCATACATTCCAGAAGTATGTTATTTTGTGTTAATACGATACAATAGAGAAATGTTTTCAAGAATTTTTTAGATATTGCTTGTTTAAGACTCAAAATTCAGATGATAATGTCAGACATCATTTAAATATGTTTACACTGAAGAGGAAATTTTGCATCAGCATTAAAATATTCCTGTAGAATACTGATATATAAATAAGATTGGCATATAAATAAAGTTTTGGTCTTATTTTACAATTAGAATTTCTAAAAATCAAATAATATATCTCTTTGAAGTACTTCACTAGTACTTTAAATAAATATAAAGTGGGTTAATAAAATAAAATCCGTATAGTTTAGTTTCAGTGTAAGAATATAATATAAATTTTTAAACTAAAATAAAGATCTTGTACGTTAAATTAAATTTTCAAAATGTATTTCTCTCTGTCACTTGTATTCTCTTTTGGACAGCCTTACGAAGTAAGTATGAACAGTTATTTAATGTGTTACATTGGAAGAGGTCACGGCACCAATGTTATGAAGAGAAAGTTTCGAGACCATGGTTAAATAGTTTTACTTCTAGGTACCATGTTATATCTGAAATTCCTATATTGTTAAATGTTAAATATGAAACTACTTGCCGTTAAAGGTAGTAATCGTATAGAGAAACGTGTACAGCATTTTCGCGTTGTGAAAAAAATGCATTCCGGGACCGCGCCGTGAGAGGATCGAAAACATAAAACATATACAAGATATAAAGGAAAAGTTCATATTAAATATATAAAGAAAACATACTGTAAGAGGTTCCAGATTACATATCAGTTTATTCAATTACAACACAATAAGAAAAATCTTAACCTCATCTGAGAGTCTGTTCATTTAAATTCATAAAAAACTTAAGGTTTGTCTGGTGATTTAAAAGAAAAGGAAAGGGAAAACAATTTATGGCCTGAGAGTTAAATTTTAGATTCGACGTGGTTTTTTTACTGCTAAGGACGTTTTTGGAAAAACTTGCCTAAAGTTCCAAACACAAAACACCAAAAAAAATAATACTTATCTTGAGTGGACATCTTGAAGTGGAGGAGAGCTCATATCTTAGCTCTATCCTTACGTCACTTGGCAATCCGCAAGCCAGAAACTCGAACGGCACGACAATAAATTACATCAGCTATACCGTCAAAATCTTACGCCTGCTACTGGTTTCCATAGGAGAAAATTATTCCCACTGGAAGCAAGAGAACAGCTTTACACACCGCACGGCTGTCTGCCTAGACTCTCAGCTCCACCAAGGAAAACGTAGACAATTAAGCTAGGCATTTTAGAGAACGGCTAACGCAGGCTTCCAGTTGTCTAAGGTGACATAATTCCTTCTGTTTTCAAGTCGGAGTTCAGAGGACATCGTCCTGACTTTTGCCGATACAGATAGAGACCCAAGTCTCTGTTAATTTTTTTTGTTATTCGCTCAACAGTTTTTTTTTTTTCTTCGTATTTTTGAGAAAAACCCGCGGCCGGGGAGCATAATTGCCGCTCCCCGCCGGAAGCACTGCTCGATGCCGACTAAATCTTTTCCTTTCTCCTTCGCAACACCCACAAGTTTTTTCTCAGTCTCCGTCAACAAGTCCGTCAAGCCCGAAAGTCAGCGAATCCAAGCAGTGAGTGCCTAAGCGAGTCCAGAGTAAGTGTGTAAGAGAGTCTCGCCTCTTAACCCAAAACGCGGCCGGGGAGCATATTTGCCGCTCCCCGCCGGAAAAACACCTCTCGGAGTCACTTACATTTTGTCCAGCAAGCCCAAAAATCAGCGAGTCAGTCCGAGAGTCAGCCAAAAGTAAGTGTGTCCAACTCAAATTTCCTTCTTCTCCTTCACCAAACGGGCTCCCACTAT